TTGGGGATTACCAACGGACTAGCAGTACTATAAATCCTCATTTAACGGGTAAATGTAAGGCCTGTGCCATCTTAAGATACTTCTTCCTACTCTATTTCTTCCGCTCCATAAGATGGCGGTGTCCATTTTCCTCTATCTACGCGCGTCGCGGTCTTTAACCTCTTATTACCAAATCCTCATTAACGAGATTAGCACTACTATAAATCCTCTTTAAAGAGACTAGCACTACTATAAATCCTCTTTAACGAGACTAGCACTACTATAAATCCTCTTTGGCGAGACTAGCACTATTAATATCCTCTTTTAACGAGACTAGCACTACTATAAATCCTCTTTAATGAGACTAGCACTACTATAAATCCTCTTTAGCGAGACTAGCACTATTATAAATCATCTTCAAATCTTGTTTATGGTTGTCTTTCCCCCTATAATGTTGCTAATTGCTCCTTTCATCGAAATATGTGATATACAGAAGCATGTCAGTAATTCTGGCAACATTCGAAATATGGCTTTGCTGGAATTAAGGATTAACTGCAAGAAAAACTCTTCGCTAATGTACTAGTCCCTTTGACTACCCTTAACTTCCATGCTTTGTACTTTCTTATTACACAAGCTGCCCCTATGTTTCCTTGGAAGATGCTGGTCCCGCTACTGGCCCTTTTCTCTCTTCCTCTCTTCTCTCTCCTACTCTCTTACTCTCTTCCTCTCTGGCTCTATCACCCTCGCTATTGCAACACGCATACACAGCCTATCAGAAGAATACGAGCAACTTTCCCGTGAAGAAAGAATAGACTCTTTAAAATGCAATGTTCTCATAATTCCGTAGCACTTTTAAATGTCAGAAATTTACAGCAGTGGTAATATGAATCTGTGGATTTCAGCACTGAAACCTACGATTTCTGTATACATAGGACTTGCCAAACACATACCCGTGGCTCAATCCGAGTATTTTTCTTTTTTGTTTTTAAAAAGCTGTAGGAACTCATTGCCATAAGTGCAGTTATTTACACTAAAACCTTTTATAGAGCGTACAAAACGTATATAAAAACCACAGACACCAAAACGGTTCTGGCGAATGGTGTTGTTAACAAGCTAAAAACTACCGAAAAGACAGGAAAGTAAAGCCAAAAACATAGTATATGAAAAGGGCAAACTGATCACCCTTGAACATATATTATTCGTTCCACAAAAGCAATGGCGTTGGTGTCGAGTCCTGTGCGTCGTCTCAACTCATGACCCTTCGAAATTCAGGATTAGTGGCGAACGTTTTCAGGGAGAAGTTGCTCTACCTGAACACAGAACTTTGTAGATTCTAACAGATATAAACACAGCATTATGAAATTGCCATTTTTAAGTATATATTATATATATATAATATATATTAATATATATATATTATATACTTATATATTATATAGTATCTTGTGTGAATTTATGTAAATCACCTAAGAAATTAGGATATTGTTATATGTAATAAATGCTGCTTTCATGCATCTTTCTTTCTTTTGAACATTTTTTTTCATTATATTAAAGTATTTAAAATTCTGATCCTCATGTTGCAAATAAGATAATATATACTAAATGAAATATGTAACAACATATTTCATAGAATATTATTTATAAAGAACATAGACGAATGTTTGTGAGGTACAGGTGTAAAAACTTACTGTGAAAGTATGTGCGTAAGCTTAATTTAGTGATTTGGGTATATAGTATGAACAAATTAAATCTTAACCATTCATGTAACTATTTATCAAAGCATTTTTGTGTTTTCGAATTCTGCATCTATGTGCTATTTTTTTCGTCTTTTGCTTCTGCCGGGAACTTGCTTGTTTCACTTATTCTAGTGTCCAAAATACTTGTTAATTCCAAACAAGTCACCAACATCATGTCATGCATTATTTGAGACTAATTCAAATGCAGTAAATTTGGATGCTAATTGTATTTTCATGTCCCATAAAATATTCAGAAATTGTCGCATTGCGCGACTTGTGTAAACAAAGCGAGAGATTAGTTTAAGAATTATCCGATAGATGGGGCTGTCCGTGACTGCACTTTTTTCAGATACGAATAATTCCTTTCCCTGTCTTTTTGTATGGCTCTTTACCACTCAAGCAAGTTCTGTCTTCAACTAATAAAAAAATAAAAAATCTTTAAAGGATATATCTGGCAGGTGTTCTTGGGATGAAGCAGAAAACCTGATTTTGCAAGTATATTCTATTGCCGACAACAGATGGCTCTCGTACACTCATTTTAGAATGGATTTTATTCACTCGATTATATTTATATATATGTATATATATATATATATATATATATATATATACATATATATACATATATACATATAATACATTATATATATATACNAAGGACACCAGGGGTCCGAGAAGGACACCAGGGGTCCGAGAAGGACACAGGGTCCGAGAGGACACCAGGGGTCCGAGAAGGACAGTCCACCAGGGGTCCGAGAAGGACAGCGAGGGTCCGAGAAGGACACAGGGGTCCGAGAGGACACCGAGGGGTCCGAGAAGGAACCGAGGGCCGAGAAGGACACCGAGGGTCCGAGAGGACACCGAGGTCCGAGAAGGACACCGAGGGGTCCGAGAAGGACACCGAGGGGTCCGAGAAGGACACCGAGGGTCCGAGAAGGACAGAGGGGTCAAGAAGGACACCGAGGGGTCCAGAAGGACCCGAGGGGTCCGAAGGACACCGAGGGTCCGAGAAGGACACCGAGGGGTCGAGAAGGACCCGAGGGTCCGGAGAAGGACACCGAGGGGTCCGAGAAGGACACGAGGTCCGAGAAGGACACCGAGGGTCCGAGAAGGACACCGAGGGTCCGAGAAGGACAGCGAGGGGTCCGAGAAGGACAGCGAGGGTCCGAGAAGGACATCCGAGAAGGACACCGAGGGGTCCGAGAAGGACACCAGGGGGTCCGAGAAGGACAGCGAGGGATCCGAGAAGGACAGCGAGGGATCCGAGAAGGACAGCGAGGGGTCCGAGAAAGACAGCGAGGGTCCCGAGAAGGACAGCCGAGGGGTCCGAGAAGGAACAGCGAGGGTCGAGAAGTGACGACCAAGGAGCAGGGTCGAGAAGGAAGGCGAGGGGTCCGAGAAGCGACAGCAGAGGGGTCCGAGAAGGGACACCGAGGGGTCCGAGAAGGACACCGAGGGGTCGAGAAGACGACAGCGAGGGGTCCGAGAAGGAAGCGAGCGAGGGGTTCGAGAAGGGACAGCGAGGGTCGCGGAGAAGGACAGCAGGGGTCAAGAAGATGGCGAGGGATCCGAGATAGGAACGAGCGGAGGGGTCCGAGAAGGAACAAGCAGAGCGGGTGCCCGAGAAGACAGCGAGGGGTCCGAAAGGCAGGCGAGGGGGTCCCGAGAAGGAACATAGCGAGGGGTCAGCGAGAAGGAGACAGACGCCGCAGGGGTTCCGAGAAGGAACAGCAGGAGGTCCGAGAAAGGACCCCAGCGGGTCCGAGAAGGAACAGCCCCAGGGGGGTCCGGAGAAGGACAACCCAGCGGGGTCCGGAGAAAGGACACCCGAGGTCCGAGCAAGGACACCCGGGGTCCGGAGAGGACACCCAGGGGTCCGACGAAAGGACACCCAGGGGTCCTGAGAGGACAACCCAGGGGTCCGAGAAGGACACCTCAGGGGTCCGAGAAGCGAACACCCAGGGGGTCCGAGAAGGACACCCAGTGGGTCCGAGAAGGGACACCGCAGGGGGTCCGGAGAAGGACACCCAGGGGTGCCGAGAAGGAACCCCAGGGGTCCGAGAAGGACAACCAGTGGGGTCCCGAGAAGGACACCCAGGGGTCGAGAAAGGACACCCAGGGGCCGAGAAGGTGACACCCCAGGGTCCCGAGAAGGACACCCAGGGGGTCCAAGAAGGACATCCCAGGGGTCCGGGAAAGGACAGCGAGACAGGGGTCGGGAAGGACAGGCGAGGGGTCCGGTGAAGGACAGCGAGGGCCCGGGAAGGACAGCGAGGGGTCCGGAAAGGAACACCGGGGGTCCGGGAAGGAACAGCGAGGGGTCTGGAAGAAGAAAGGACAGCGAGGGTCCGGAGAAGGACACCGAGGTCCGGGAAAGGACAGCGAGGGGTCCGGGAAGGACAGCCGAGGGGTCAGCGAGGGGTCCGGGAAGGACAGCGAGGGGTCCGGGAAGGACACCCGGGAAGGAGCGAGGATCCGGGAAGGGACAGCGAGGGGTCCGACAGGGGTCCGGGAAGGACACCCAGGGGGTCGCGACAGGAGGGTCCAGGGTCCGAGAAGGACACCCAGGGGTCCGAGAAGGAACTGGGGTCCGAGAAAGGACACCAAGGGGTCCGAGAAGGACACCCAGGGGTCTGAGAAGGACACTGAGGGGTCCGGGAAGAACACCAGGGGTCCGGGGAAGGACACCAGGGGTCCGGGAAAGACGACCGGGGGACCGAGGGTCCGGGAAGGAAGCGAGGGGTTCGGGAAGGACACCGAGGGGTCCGGAAGGACAGCGAGGGGTCCGGGAAGGACAGCGAGGGTTCCGGGAGGACAGCGAGGGGGTCCGGGAAGGACACCGAGGGGTCGGGAAGGACAGCGATGGGTCCGGGAAGGACACCGAGGATCTGGGAGAACAGCGAGGGGTCCGGGAAGGACACGAGGGGTCAGGGAAGGACAAGGGGCCGGAAGGACAGCGAGGGGTCCGGGAAGGACAGCGAGGGGTCCGGGAAGGACAGCGAGGGGTCCGGGAAGGACAGCGAGGGGTCCGGGAAGGACAGCGAGGGGTCCGGGAAGGACCGAGGGTCACGAGGGGTCCGGGAAGGACGAGGGGTCAGGGGTCCGAGAAGGACAGCGAGGGGTCCGGGAAGGACAGCGGAGGGGTTCGAGGGGTCCGGGAAGGACACCGAGGGGTCCGGGAAGGACACCGAGGGGTCCGGGAAAGGAATACGAGGAGGAAGTCGTCGAGGAGTCCGAAGAGGAAGTCGCCGAGGAGTCTAAGAAGGACACAGAGAGGTAGTCGCCATGGAGTCCTACAAGGACAGAGGGGAGTCTGAGAGGGAGTCCCGAGAGGACAACCGGAGGAGGTCTAGGAAGGACACTGAGGAGTCGGAGAAGGAGCAGACCGAGGGGGTCCGAACGAAGGACACCGGAGGGGGGTCCGACACGAAGGACACCTGGGGGGTCCGAGAAGGATATCCGCGCTACGAGGGTCGCGAGGAGTGCCGGGAAGGAACAGCGAGGGGTCGGGGTGAAGGACGAGTGGAGGGTGGTCCGCGGGAAGGGGAGGGTCCGCTGGNAGAAGAACCCCAGGGCCGAGAAGGACACCCAGGGGTCGAGAAGGACACCCAGGGGTCCGAGAAGACACCAGGTCCGAGAAGGACACCCAGGGGTCGAGAAGGACAACCCAGGGGTCCGAGAAGGACACCCAGGGGTCGAGAAGGACACCAGGGGTCGAGAAGGACACCCAGGGGTTCGAGAAGGACACCCAGGGTCCGAAAGGACACCGAGGGGTCCGAGAAGGTACCGAGGGGTCGAGAAAAAAAGGCGAGGGCCCGAGAAGGACAGCGAGGAGTCCCAGAAGGAAACCGAGGATTCCGAGAAGAAAAGCAGGGGACCCAAGAAGGACAGCGAGGGGCCCGAGAAGGACAGCGGGGAGTACGAGAAGGACACCGCGGGGTCCGAGAAGGTCACCGTGGGGTCCGAGAAAAACAGCGAGGGGCCCGAGAAGGACACCCAGGGTCCTAGAAGGACAGCGAGGAGTCCGAGAAGGACACCGAGGGGCAAGAGAAGGACACCGAGGGGCCCGAGAAGGACAGCGAGGAGTCCGAGAAGGACACCGGGGGGTCCGAGAAGGACAGCGAGGGATCCGAGAAGGACACCGAGGGGTCGAGAAGGACAGCGAGGGGTCCGAGAAGGACAGCGAGGGGTCCGAGAAGGACAGCGAGGGGTCCGAGAAGGGGGTCGAGGGGTCCAGAAGCAGCGAGGGGTCCGAGAAGGGGGTCCAGAAGGACCCAGGGTCCGCAAGGAGCGGGGTCCGAGAAGGACACCCAGGGTCCGAGAAGGACAGCGAGGGGCCGAGAAGGACAGCGAGGGGTCGACAGCGAGGGTCGAGAAGGACAGCGAGGTCCGGACAGCGAGGGGTCCGAGAAGGACAGCGAGGGTCGAGAAGGACACCGAGGGTCGAGAAGGACACCGAGGGTCCGAGAAGGACACCGAGGGTCGAGAAGGCCGATCCGGGGTCCGAGAAGGACACCGAGGGTCCGAGAAAGGCCGAGAGGACACCGAGGGGTCCGAGAAGGACACCCGAAAGGACACCGAGGGGTCCGAGAAGGACACCGAGGAATCCGAGAAGGACACCGGGGGGTCCCAGAAGGACACAAAGGGGTCCGAGAAGGACACCGAGGGGCCCGAAAAGGACATCGAGGGGCCCGAGAAGGACAGCGAGGGGCCCGAGAAGGACATCGAGGGCCCGAGAGGACATCCCGAGAAGGACATCGAGGGGCCGAAGGACATCCCGAGAAGGACATCGAGGCCCGAGAAGACATCGAGGGCCCGAGAAGGACATCGAGGGCCCGAGAAGGACATCCGAGAAGGACACCGAAGAGTCGAGAAGGAAACCGATGAGTCCTAGGAAAATGAGGGGTCCAAGAATGACACCGAGGGGTCCAAGAAGGACACCGAGGGGTTCGAGAAGGACACCGAGGGGCCCGAGAAGGACATCGAGGGGCCCGAGAAGGACATCGAGGGGCCCGAGAAGGACATCGAGGGGCCCGAGAATCGAGGGCCGAGAAGGACATCGAGGGGCCGAGAAGGAAGGGTCCGAGAAGACCGAGAGTCCGAGAAGGAAACCGATGAGTCCTAGGAAAATGGGTCAAGAATGACACCGAGGGGTCCAAGAAGACACCGAGGGTTCGAGAAGGACACCGAGGGTCCAAGAAGAACACCGGAGGGTCCGAGAAGACACCGGAGGTCCGATAAGGAAACCGGAGGGTCCGAGAAGGAAATCGAGGGTCCGAGAAGGACACGAGAGAAGGACACCAAGGGGCCCGAGACGGACACCGAGGGCCCGAGAGAACACCGAGGGCCCGAGAATGACACCAGGGGCAAAAATGACACCGAGGGGCCCGAGAAGGACACCGAGGGACCGAGAAAGACACCGGGGTCCGAGAAAGGACACCCAGGGGTCCGAGAAGGACACCGAGGGTCCGGAAGGACAGCGAGGGTCGACGAGAAGGACAGCGAGGGGTCCGAGAAGGACAGCGAGGGGTCCGAGAAGGACAGCGAGGGGTCCGAGAAGGACACTGAGGGTCCGAGAAGGACAACAAAGAGTCCGAGAAGGACACCAAAGAGTCCGAGAAGGAAACCAAAGAGTCCGAGAAGGAAACCAAAGAGTCCGAGAAGGACACCAAAGAGTCCGAGAAGGACACTAAAGAGTCCGAGAAGGACAGCGAGGGGCCCGAGAAGGAAGGCGAGGGGCCCAAGAAGGACAAAGAGGGGCAGTGAGTGGTCCGAAAGGAACCGGGTCCGAGAAGACAGGGTCCGAGAAGGACACCATGGGGTCCGAGAAGGACACCGGGGGGTCCGCGAAGGAAGCCAAGGGGCCCAAGAAGGACACCGAGGGGCCCGGAAAGGACAGCGAGGGGTCCGAGAAGGACACCGAGGGAGGACACCGAGGGAGGGACACCGAGGGGCCGAGGAACCGAAGGGCCAGAGAAGGACACCGAGGGGCCCGAGAAGGACACCGAGGGGCCCGAGAAGGACAGCAAGGGGTCCGAGAAAACAGAGAAGGGTTCTAGAAGGACACCGAGGGGTCCGAGAAGGTCACCGAGGGGTCCGAGAAAAACCGCGAGGGGCCCGAGAAGGACAGCGAGGAGTCCGAGAAGGAAACCGAAAGGTCCGCGAAGGACACCGAGAGGTCCGAGAAGGACACCGAGGGGCCCGAGAAGGACACCGAGGGGCCCGAGAGGGACATCGAGGGGCCGAAAGGGACCGAGGGGCCCGAAAGGGACACCGAGGGGCCGAGAGGGACACGAGGGCCATAGAGGGACACGAGGGCCCGAGAGGACACCGAGGGGCCCGAGAGGGACACCGAGGGCCCAAGAATGACACTCAGGGGCCGAGAAGGACAGCGCGGGGTCCGAGAAGGACACCGAGGGATCCGAGAAGGACAGCGAGGGGTCCGAGAAGGACAGCGAGGGGTCCAAGAAGGAAAGAGAGGGGTTCGAGAAGGACACCGAGGGGTCCTAGAAGGACACCGAGGGGTCCTAGAAGGACACCGAGGGTCCGAGAAGGACACCAAAGAGTCCGAGAAGGACAGCGAGGGGCACGAGAAGGAAGGCGAGGGGCCCAAGAAGGACAAAGAAGGGTTCGAGAAGTACTCCGAGGACACGAGGGGTCCAAGGACAGCGAGGGGTCCGAGAAGGACACGAGGGTTCCGAGGACACGAGGGCCCGAGAAGGACACCGAGGGGCCCGAGAATGACACCGAGGGGCCCGAGAAGGACAGCGAGGGGTCCGAGAAGGACACCGAGGGACACCGAGGGTCCGAGAAGGACAGCGAGGGGTCCGAGAAGGACAGCGAGGGGTCCGAGAAAGACACCGAGGGTCCGAGAAAGACACCGAGGGTCCGAGAAGGACACCAAAGAGTCCGAGAAGGACACCAAAGAGTCCGAGAAGGACACCAAAGAGTCCGAGAAGGACACCAAAGAGTCCGAGAAGGAAAGCGAGGGGCCCGAGAAGGACAAAAAGCGGTTCGAGAAGTACACAGAGGACAGTGAGTGGTCCGAGAAGGACAGCGAGGGGTCAAAGGACACAGGGGGGTCCGAGAAGGACACCGGGGGTCCGAGAAGGAAACCAAGGGGCCCAAGAAGGACACCTAGGGGCCCGTGAAGAACAGCAAGAGGTCCGAGAAGGACAAAGAGGAGCCCGAGGACACCGAGGGGCCCGAAAAGGACACCGAGGGGCCCGAGAAGGACACGAGGGCCCGAGAAGGAACCGAGGGGCCCGAGAGACACCGAGGGCCCGAGAGGGACACCGAGGGGCCCAAGAATTACACTGAGGGGCCCAAGAATGACACCAAAGGCCCCGAGAAGGACACCGAGGGGTCCGAGAAAGACACCGAGGGGTCCGAGAAGGACAGCGAGTTGTCCGTGAAGGACACCGAGGGGTCCGAGAAGGACAGCGCGGGGTCCGAGAAGGACAGCGCGGGGTCCGAAAAGGACACCGAGGGGTCCGAGAAGGAAACCCAGGGTCCGAGAAGGACACCGAGGGTCCGAGAAGGGAGGTCCGAGGAGTCCGAGAAGGACACCGGGGGTCCGAGAGGACACCGGGGTCCGAGAAGGAAACCAAGTGGCCCAAGAAGGACACCGAGGGGCCCGAGAAGGACATCGAGGGGTCCGAGAAGGACACCGAGGAGCCCGACGACACCGAGGGGCCCGAAAAGGACACAAAGGGGCCCGAAAAGGACACCGAAGGGCCCGAGAAGGACACCGAGGGGCCTGAGAAAGACACCGAGGTCTCCGAGAAGGACACCCAGGGGCCCGAGAAGGACACTGAGGGGCCCGAGAAGGACACCGAGGGGCCTGAGAAGGACACCTAGGGGCCCGAGAAGGACACCCAGTGGCCCGAGAAGGACACCCAGGGGCACGAGAAGGACACCCAGGCCCGAGAAGGACCGAGGGGCTCGAGAGGGACACCGAGGGGCCCGAGAGGGACACCGAGGGGCCCGAGAGGGACACCAGGGCCCGAGAAGGAACCCAGGGCCCGAGAGGGACACCGAGGGGTCGAGAGACACCGAGGGCCCGAGAGGGACACGAGGGGCCGAGAGGACACCGAGGGGCTCGAGAGGGACACCGAGAGGGACACCAAGGGGCCCGAGAAGGACACCGAGGGGCCCGAGAATGACACCGAGAGGCCCAAAAATGACACCGAGGGGCCCGAGAAGGACAGCGTGGGGTCCGAGAAGGACAGCCAGGGATCCGAGAAGGACACCGAGGGGTCGGAGAAGGAAAGAGAGGGGTTCGAGAAGGACACCGAGGGGTCCGAGAAGGACACCGAGGGTCCGAGAAGGACACCAAAGAGTCCGAGAAGGACACCAAAGAGTCCGAGAAGGACAGCGAGGGGCCCGAGAAGGAAGGCGAGGGGCCCAAGAAGGACAAAGAGGGGTTCGAGAAGTACACCGAGGACAGTGAGTGGTCCGAGAATGACACCGAGGGGCCCGAGAAGGACACCGAGGGGCCAGAGAAGGACACCGAGGGGTCCGAGAAGAACACGAGGGGTCGAGAAGGACACGAGGGTCGAGAAGGACAGGGGTCCGAGAAGGACAGCGAGGGTTCCGAGAAGGACAGCGAGGGTCCCAGAAGGACACCAAAGAGTCCGAGAAGGACACCAAAGAGTCCGAGAAGGACACCAAAGAGTCTGAGAAGGAATCCAAAGAGTCCGAGAAGGAATCCAAAGAGTCCGAGAAAGACACCAGAGAGTCCGAGAAGGAAAGCGAGGGGCCCGAGAAGGAAGGCAAGGGGCACAAGAAGGACAAAGAGCTGTTCGAGAAGTACACCGAGGACAGTGAGTGGTCCGAGAAGGACACCGAGGGGCCCGAGAAGGACACCAGGGGCCGGAAGGACACCGAGGGGTCGAGAGGACACCGAGGGGTTCAGAGGGAGAGGGGACAACCGAGGGCCGAGGTGAGGACACCGAGGGTCCGAGAAGGTACGCGAGGGGTCCGAAGAATGGACAGCGAGGGTCCAGAAGGACACCAAAGAGGTCGAGAAGGACACCAAAGAGTCCGAGAAGGACACCAAAGGAGTACTGAGAAGGTATACTCCAATAGAGTCCAGAGAAGGGCAATCCAAAGAGTCCCGATGAAGGGACACCAGAGAGTCCGAGAAGGAAGCGAGGGGCCCCGAGAAGGGAAGGCAAGGGCACAAGAGAGTGAACAAAGAGTAGTTTCGAGTAGTATTTTACACCTAGATGGCGTGACAGTGAGTTATGGGTCCGAGAGGACACCGAAGGGGGTCCTGAGTAAATGGTAAAACCGGGGCGGCTCCGCCGAGAAGAGGACACCGGATAGGGGCTTCACGAGAGGGACACCGGAGGGGCCCGAAGAGGGGGACACCGAGGGGCCGAGAGGAACACCGAGGGGCCGAGAGGGACACCGAGGGGCCGCGAGAGGGAACATCGAGGTGGGTCCGGACGTACAAGACACGCTAGGAGCCCGACGACACCGATGGCCCGAGAAGGTAGCACCCCAGTGGCCCGAGAAGGACTACCCAGGCGGCACGAGAAAGGACATCCCGTTAGGGCCCGAGAACGCGACCACCGAGAGAGGCATCGATATGTAGGTGGTACCACCGAAGCGAGCTCCTCTGAGAGGGACATCCGAGGGGCCGATAGGGACACCAGGGCCCGAGAAGGACAGCCCCAAGGGGGCACAAGAGAGGGACCACCGAGAGAGGTCCGAGAGGGAGCCACCGATGGGGCTCCGAGAGGGACACCGTTGGGCCGCGAGTAGGTGGATTACCGTAGTTGGGGCATCTGAGAGGGACACGAGAGGCCCGAGCAGGGGACACCAAGGGCCCGAGAAGACACCGAGGGGCCCGAGAATGACACCGAGAGCCCAAAAAATGACACGAGGGGCCCGAGAAGGACAGCGTGGGGTTCCTGAGAGGACAGCCAGGATCGGAGAAGGACACCGAGTTGGTCGGAGAAGGAAAGAGAGGGGTTCGAGAAGGACACCGAGGGGTCCGAGAAGGACACGAGGGTCCGAGAAGGACACCCAAAGAGTCCGAGAAGGAGACACCAAAGAGTCGAGAAGGTACAGCGAAGGGGCCCGAAGAAGGAAGGCGAGGGGCCCAGAAGGACAAAGAGGGGTTCGAGAAGTACACCGAGGACAGTTGAGTGGGTCCGAGAATTGATTCACCGAGGGCCCGGAGCAAGAACACCGACGGGCCAGAGAAAGGGACACCGAGTGGTCTCGAGAAGATATTTACGAAGGGGTCTGAGGTAAGGACACAATGAGGGTCCGAGAAGGACACCGAGGGGTCCGAGAAGGACAGCGAGGGTCCGAGAAGGACAGCGGAGGTCCGAGAAGGACACCAGGGGTTAAGAAGCCTGAGAGAAGGATTCACCCAAAGCAGTCCCGAGTAAGGACACCAAAGAGTCTGAGAAGGGAATCCAAAGAGTCTTCCTGAGAAGAATCCAAAGAGTCGTAGAGAAAGACACCAGAGAGTCGAGAAGGAAAGCCCGAGAAGGAAGGCAAAGGGGCACCAAGAGAGGACAAAGAGCTGTTCGAGAAGTACCACCGAGGACAGTGAGGGTCGAGAAGGACACCGGGGTCCGAGAAGGCACCGGGGGCCGAGAAGACACCGAGGGGCTCCAGACGAGGGACACCGAGGGGCCCCGAGAGGAGCGACACGAGGGGCCCGAGAGGACACCGAGGGGCCCGAAGAGGGACACGAGGGGCCCGGAGGCATCGAGGGGTCCGAGAAGGACACGAGAGCCGACGACACCGAGGGGCCCGAAAAGGACACAAAGAGGCCGAGAAAGAGGGGCCGAGAAAGGACACCGAGGGGCCTGAGAAGGACACCGAGGGGCCTGAGAAGGACAAGTCTCCGAGGGACACCGAGGGCCCGGAGATGGACACCGAGCGGCCCGAGAAGAACACCAAGGGGCCCGAGAAGGACACCGAGGGGCCCGAGAAGGACTCTGAAGGGCCTGAGAAGGACACCTAGGGGCCGAGAAGGACACGAGGGGCCCCGAGAAAGACACCGAGGGGCCCGGGAAGGACACCGAGGCCGAGAAGGACAGCCTGAGCGGACGAGAAGGACGAGGGCCGAGGGGCTCGAGAGGGACACCGAGGGGCCCGAGAGGGACACCCCCCGAGGGCCCGAGGGGGACACGAGGGGCCCGAGAGGACACCGAGGGGGCCGAGAGGGACGACCGAGGGGCCGAGAAGGGACACCGATGGGGCCAAAGAGGGACACCCGAGGGGCCCGAGAGGGACACGGAGGGCCCGAAGAAGGACACCGAGGGGCCCGAGAAGGACAGCGAGGGGTCCGAGAAGGACACCGAGGGGTCCGAGAAGGACAGCGAGGGGTCCGAGAAGGACAGCGAGGGGTCCGAGAAGGAAAGAGAGGGGTTCGAGAAGGACACCGAGGGGTCCGAGAAGGACACCGAGGGTCCGAGAAGGAGAGGTCAGGACACCAAAGAGTCGAGAAGACACCAAAAAGCGAGTCGAGAGGACACCAAAGAGTCCGAGAAGGACACCAAAGAGTCCGAGAAGGACATCGAGGGGCCCGAGAAGGAAGGCGAGGGGCCCAAGAAGGACAAAGTGGGGTTCGAGAAGTACACCGAGGACAGTGAGTGGTCCGAGAAGGACACCGAGGGGCCCGAGAATGACACCGAGGGGCCCGAAAAGGACACCTAGGGGCCCGAGGACACCGAGGGGCCCGAGAAGGACACCGAGGGGCCCGAGAAGGACACCGAGGGGCCCGAGAAGGACACCGAGGGGCCCGAGAAGGACACCGAGGGCCCGAGAAGGACACCGAGGGGCCCGAGAAGGACCACCGAGGGGCCGAGAAGGGACACCGAGGGGCCCGAGAAGGACACCGAGGGCCCGAGAAGGGACCGAGGGGCCCGAGAAGGATACCGAGGGGCCCGAGAATGACACTCAGGGGCCCGAGAAGGACAACGAGGGGTCCGAGAAGGACACCGAGGGGCCGAGGACACCGAGGGGACCGAGAAGGACACCGAGGGGCCCAAGAAGGACACCGAGGGGCCCGAGAAGGACACCGAGGGGCCCGAGAAGGACACCGAGGGGCCCGAGAAGGACACCGAGGGGCCCGAAGAAGGACACGAGGGGCCCGAGAAGGACACGAGGGCCCGAGAAGGACACCAGGGGCCCGAAGAAGGGACACCGAGGGGAGAGAGGGACGAGAAGGACGAGGGGCCCGAGAGGACACCGAGGGCCCGAGAGGGACACGAGGGGTCCGAGAAGGACAGCGAGGGGCCCGAGAAGGACACCGAGGGGTCCGAGAAGGACACCGAGGGGTCCGAGAAGGACACCGAGGGGTCCGAGAAGGACAGCGAGGGGTCCGAGAAGGACACCAGTGAGGCGCGAGGTGGTGAGAAAGGACACCCGAGGGGTCCAAAAAGGACAGCGAGGGGGTCCGAGGACACCGAGGGGTCCGAGAAGGACAGCGAGGGGTCCGAGGAGGAAACCAAGGGTCCGAGAAGGACACCAAAGGGTCCGAAAAGGACACCAAAGTAGTCCGGGTCCGAAGGACACCAAAGGGAGTACGAGAAGGACAGCGAAGGGCCCGAGAAAGGACAGCGCGGGGCCGAGAAGAGAAGGCGAGGGGCTCCAAGAAGGACAAAGAGGTGTTCGAGAAGGTACACCGAGGACAGTGAGTGGTCGAGAAAGGGACACTGAGGAGTCCGAGAAGGACACCGGGGGGTCCGAGAAAGAAACCGGGGGGTCCGAGAAGGAAACCAAGGGGCCCAAGAAGGACACCGAGGGGCCCAAGAAGAGACAGCGGGGTCCGAGAGGACACCGAGGGGCCCTAAGACACCTAGGGGCCAGCGAAGGACACCAACGAGTCCGAGAAGGAAACCTAGGAGTCCGAGAATGACAGCGAAGGTCCGAGAAGGACACCGAGGGGTCCGAGAAGGACACCGGGGTCCGAGAAACCAGAGTAAGGTCTTCACGCGAGGGGTCCGAAAATCACGAGGGTCCAGGAGAGGTACACCGTAGGGTCCGAGGTCCGGTCCGAGAAAAAAAAAACGAGTGGACACCGAGAGGGTCCGAGGAGAGGTGGACACCCGAGGGGTCCGTGAAGGAACACGAGGGGTCCACACCCAAGGGTCCGAGAAGGACACCGAGGGGTCCGAGAAGGACACCGAGGAGTCTTAGAAGGACACCGGGGGTCCGAGAAGGACACCGAGGGTCCGAGAAGTGGACACCGGGGAGATCCGAGAAGGACACCGGGGGTCCGAGAAGGAAACCAAGGGGCCCAAAAAGGACACCGAGGGGCCTCAGAAGGACATCGAGGGGTCCGAGAAGGACACCGAAGAGCCCGAGGACACCGAGGGGCCCAAACAGGACATAAAGGGGCCCGAGAAGGACACCGAGGGCCCAAGGAAGGACACCGAGGGCCTGAGAAGGACACCGGGGGGCCCGAGAAGGACACCCAGGGGCCCCGAGAAGGGACACCCAGGGGCCCGAGAAGGACACCCAGGGGCCCGAGGAAGGCAGGGGCCCGAGGACACTGGGCCCGAGAAGGACACCGAGGGGGCTCGAGAGGGACCGAGGGGCCCGAGAGGGACAACCGAGGGGCCGAGAGGGACACGAGGGGCCCGAGAGGGGACACCGAGGGGGCCCGAGGAGGACACCGAGGGGCCCGAGAGGGACAAGGGTCAGAGAGGGACACGAGGGCCCGAGAAGGACACCAGGGGCCCGAGAGGACACGAGGGCCCGGGGAAGGACACCGAGGGGCCCGAGAGGGACACCGAGGGGCCCGAGAGGGACACCGAGGGGCCCGAGAGGGACACCGAGGGGCCCGAGAGGGACAGAGGCCCGAGGGGACACCGAGGGGCCCGAGAGGGACACCCAGGGGCCCGAGAAGACACCGAGGGGTCGAGAGGACACGAGGGGCCGAGGACCAAGGGCCCGAGAATGGAACCGAGGGGCGAAAAATGACAGCCGGCGAAGACAAAGAATAAGGACAGTTCGAGGGCCGTCCTGAG